AAAATTACCATATGCCAGCTGCAGAAGGCCACCTTACTGGGATCTGCACGTTTAGGTTGTGCATTTAAATGTGATCATGCTTTAGGTTGCGCATTTAAATGTGATCATGCTTACATATTTGAATTGTTCTTTGTTTGTTTTAAATCTGTTTTACTGCAAACTGCCTCCTTCCCCAGTCTTGGGAGAAAAGAATAAAAACTCATAATAAAACAAGAGCCATACCATCTGGTAGCAACTTTGGGAACATTAGAGAACTCCATCCAGGACTGGCCACAACATGATAGGCCACGTAAACTCCACCTTGAAATTCTTGACTGCAAGCTATGTACACTGTAAAAATTTCAAACAGATAATAGAGCAGCATATTCATTGTTAACGTTTGTGCAAGAGTATCCTTGTGTGTTTCAAAGTTTGCACAAGGAATCATGTGGCTTTTGGAGTTACACCTGTAGTATAGTTTTTGAAATTATCATACAAACAAGATGTAGTCCAAGACTAATTTTGTAGAACAGAATTGAAGAATGTCCTTGTACTATTACAGACACTTCCTAATTTGATGGGTGTTCCAGTGGGATTATGTTTGTTTTTATTTGGTTTTTTTTAACATTAAATATTTTTAATTTCTAATATACACATTTAACAAAAAGAAAAATAATAAAACATCTATAAATTGTATTGTTATTGTTTTGCTGTTGTTGTGTTGAGGCCTTGGCCTTTGTAAGCCGCATCGAGTCCTGCGGGAGATGCTAGCGGGGTACAAATAAAGTTTAATAATAATAATAATAATAACATATATAAACATATAATTTCTTAAGTAAATAATTTTTATTGAAGTAAAAAAATTGAACAACACAGACATATCAACATACAAGACAAACATCCAAACACACACATATTAAAATGTCTACTACTACTATAACTATAATTGGTGGCTAAACACCTCCATTTATGTATACTAAATTCTTACGTACTTATCAAAGCCTAATTTCGTAATATGTATTTGCCACTGCCTGCCTGCCTGCCTACCTACCTGACCCAGACACAAAGACAAATTTTACCCCTATCCCACCACCCTCTACCACCCTATGACGCAATACATCTACATACATATAGATTCCCCCTTAACTTCCAGGATCTTCAAGCAAACATATATTTAATTTCGTTCCTAACATATCTTAAATTACTAGTTGGCCTGTAGCCTACATTGTCGTCACTTCGGGATTCTTCTTTCCTTTCCATTCTAACAATATTTATAATTATTATTCTTTAAAAAGTTTATGAACTTGTTCCAATCAGTGCCATCAACTGTTATTCTATTCTTCCTTATTTTCTGTGTTAACAAGTCCATATTCATAATATCCATGGTCTTATTAATCCACGAATTAAAGATTGCTGTATCCTTATTTTTCCATAAACGGGCAATGCTTATCCTCGCCTCATTTCTTAATGTTTCCTAATATGTATAAAATATTTGTTCCTAATTATGCTATTTCCTCCACCCTGTTGTATTTACTTCCTGTCCTTTGGTTGAAGACAATCAACCCAAATCTATATAAATAAAAATGTAATGTTTGTTTGTGGGATTAACATAACTTAAAAACCACTGAATGAATTGACGCCAAATTTGGACATGATACACCTATCAGGCCAATAAGTGACCATCACTCATAAAAACACTGAAAAACACAGCGGGACTTAAAAGGCCAAAAAAAGCAAAAAGACACTACAGCACATGCACAAAAACTACTCCCCCTAGCAAACAAAGCACACAATAGCATAGCCACACTTTCTTCTGGACTACAGCTCCCAGCATCCCCTAGACCAGGCCCTTTAGGAGAGGAGGACGATCCAAATGCACTGCTTCCAAGCTACAAGCTTTCTTCTCCTTGGATTCCTTTGAGAGCATCCCATTCCCTGCATATTTCCAATTTTCTATTCCTGGACTGGAGCTCCCAGTAATCCTCAAGGTAAATAGATTAGATCAGGGGTCCTCAAACTAAGGCCCGTGGGCCACATGCGGCCCATCAAGGGCATTTCTCCGGCCTGCACAGCCTGGCCTGGCCTTGTGCAAAGCCCCTCGCCGCTTGCATCAGCGGCGTTTCTCTCTCTCTCCCTCTGGAGTGGGGTTGCGCCGGGCCAGGAGGAGGAGGAGGAGGCAGAGGAGGAGGAGGAGGAAGAGGCAGCGGAGGAGGAGGCGGCGGCGGCTCTGGCACAAGCCAGTCAAGGTGGTCCCAGTGGTGATCGGCACACCAGGTGCAGTGCCTCAATACCTTGGCCTGCACTTAAAAACAATCGGCGCCGACAAAATTACCATCTGCCAGCTGCAGAAGGCCACCTTACTGGGATCTGCATGCATTATTTGCCGATACATCACACAGTCCTAGACATTTGGGAAGTGTGATCCAATACAACAGCCAGCTGTGGACTCATCTTGTTTGCTGTGGACTCATCTTGTTGTGTTTCAAATAATAATAATAATAATAATAATAACAACAACAACAACAACAACAACAACAACTTTATTTATATTCCGCTCTATCTCCCCAGAGGGACTCAGGGTTGATTCCAAACATAAAAGGCAAACATTCAATGCCCGAATACAACAACAATACATCCATGCTAACAAAATTTATACAACCCAACATAAAAATATGAATGATAACTTAACAAACTAAAATTAAATAAAAAGCACAGCCTGTTATAACAGACATAAGACAAAACATCCAATATCAAATGGAAACATTGATTTCCCATTTCTTTGGGGTAAGCAGGGCACAGATACAGTTGGCAGCTATTAATCAGAGGTATAATAGTAGTATTACTGACTACTATTCCTCCTCCTTGTAAGCCAGAGAGCAAAGGTATGTCTTTCGCTGTTTTTTGAAAGCAGGGAGGGAGGGAGCCTTAGGAAGGGAGTTCCAGACGTGTGGGGCGACCACAGAGAAGGCTCTTTCTCTTGTTCCCACGAGCCATGTTTGGGACGGGGTGGAACTGAGAGGAGGACCTCCTCCGATGACCGCAGTGTCCGAGTTGGTCTGTAGAGGGAGATGCGGTTTGTCAAATAGTCTGGACCTAAGCCGTTTAGGGCTTTAAAGGTAAGAACCAGCACTTTTTTATTTAGCTCGGAAGCAGACTGGCAGCCAGTGGAGCTGCCGCAGCATGGGAATGGTTCTCTCCCTGAACTGCGCTCCAGTTAGTAACCTGGCTGCCAATCTCTGGACCATTTGAAGCTTGTTGGAACATGTCCTATGTTCCAACCATCTTGCTAGAATGCAGCTTGCTAATCCATGTTTCCACCAGAAGTGTCCTTGATCCGGTTTCACCCTACAATTTGACATAATGAGACAGCAGCCCACCATTCATTTAGTTTTTCCTTGACTAATGTTGTACATAACCAATAAAGTGTGCCTTTGTGTAAAGGACAGGTACAAACTCTTTTTAAAACTAACCTGTGTTATTAATGTTTTTTATATCCAACAGTAGCATTAACAACAAAAGTTAAATGTCCCTCAAAACATTTTAATTCCAGAGATACTGGAAGGCAGGTTTATTTATTTATTTATTTATTTATTTATTTACAGCTTTTATATTCCGCCCTTCTCACCCCGCAGGGGACTCAGGGCGGATTACAGTGTACACATATATGGCAAACATTCAATGCCAATTTTTGACATACAAACATATACAGACATACACAGAGGCTATTTAACTTTTTCTGGCCGCCAGGGGAGCTGTCGCTTTCATCGTCCATCTGCGACGCTGATGAAGCACTTCCGCATTCCCCGCATGCTTCCCCGCTGGAATGCTTTGCTGGAGTCTTCTTTATGGCCTCATAAATCAGTTAATTTAGCCTCCCCACACTTTAAGGTGGTACCTAATTTTCCTACTTGACAGATGCAACTGTCTTTCAGGTTGCAAAGGTCGACAACAGGCTACACAATTGGTTGGAAACCCACTCCAACCCGGGCTGGCTTCGAACTCATGACCTTTTGGTCAAAGTGATCTTAATGCAGCTGACACTCAGCCAGCTGCGCCACAATCCCGGTTCTATCGCCTTGCTCATATTGAAAACTTGACTTTAAACTTTACTCAGAAATATTATTGATCCTATACAACAGTCTTTATGTCTTGCTTACTAAATAATAACATGGTGGCCATGCTTGGCCTTAAGGTGGTTGTTTGCTGCATTTCTAACTGTGACGATGTGTAATTTTATTCTAATGGTTATGTGTTGTTTAAATAGTAGTTAATAAATGGTAAGTATGTAGAATTATATTTTGTTAGAAATGGTGGCTGGTTTGGCTTGAGCTGAGTTGCCATAGCAACGGGGGTGGAGCCAACTGTCACCTAGCTGCATGGCTGTTTGAAATAGGCAGTCTGTGACCGTTAGAGTTGCAGAGAAGACTGAAATCTCTGGTGGGAGATTCAGGGAACTAGTCTGTGACCAAAGAGTTACAGGAGAGGTAGTTGATCCTGTGGTGTGTGGAAAACCAGCAGGAATCCTATAGTTAGAGAACTATAGGGAAGACTGGTTCTTTAATATTAAGAATCAGGGTTTGGCTGTGAGCCAATATAGTTAGATAAGTCAGGTGGCTTATTCGTAGTAAAAGAACGCTTGTTGAAGAAAGATATATCTACTCAAAGAAACCTTTTGAAGTCTGTTTAGTACCTAAAGTTATTCAGGAAACCTTATCAATGTAACTAACTAAATCTGTGCCTCTGATGAAGTAACAATTGAATCTGTTATACTCCTGTTAAATAAATTTGTTACTGTTTTCCTCAAGCCTTGCCTGATACAGTTCCTCCTAAGTCAAACAGCCCTGCATAAGAAGTAAGACCAAATCAGGGACATTAAACGCTACGCTATCAAATAAGTAAATCCTTCTTTGTTAAACAGCTCCTAAGTTGATGCTGAGAATTACTGGGCTTCCTCACAAATTGGTGGCAGTAATTTTATGCTCCTTCACACTAACCTTGTCCATTATTTTCCTTCTCTGCAGCATACGATGAAAGTGATCACCTCTGACCAGCCTCCTTTTCGGTATCAGACCAACAGCCTCTATACTCCCATTACCACCCTCAAACACGCTGACCCCAGTGGGAACCTGCCTCTGAATGCCTTTCATCAGATGATCTTCCAGCACGATCGGCTTTTCAAAGCCAGCCTCAGCCTTCTCAAAATGCTCCAGTGGAGGAAGAGGCGGGACATGGATTATAACAAGTCCCCTTGAAAAGAGATGGACACCTCCACCTCTGAGACCTGTCATTCCCAGGATAGAGGACATGACCCACGTCCAGCTTCCTAAAGAGTTTAGCGTCAAGACTATCCATGGCTACAGGGACTGCATTCACACACTGGATGCAGAGGTAGCACTCTTATGAGGCAAGGAGCTGTCTCCTACCTCAGACACTATATTCTAGAAGATGTCTTACAGTGGAAGACTGCAGGCAGGCAGAACTGATCCCTGGGGCACAGCCTAATAGTAAGGCCATGCTTTATCATTTCCTTCTTGCCCAAGACCTCTTTCCAGGGTATTTTGTTCCACCTATGTCAAGGAGGGAGAATGGGATGCCATTTCAACATCAGTATCATACTACCACCACCTCAGGCAACAGAGCAGATACATTGTTGGCTCCTATGGAGAGATTCCAAATTCCCACCAGTAAATGAGCTCAAACAAAATCATCGTGTTGGAATGAAATATCCAAATGCTCTGCGTGTGACTTGCCTCAGCATTGGGTCACCTCTGATACTTCATTACCAGAAGTGACCTGAAGGATTATTTTGTGTAACCTGGGCAAGCAGTAAGAGTTGACTGGATGATAATTCCTGAAACCCCCCTTACAATTATATGTGTGTGTGTGTGTGTGTTTGTTTTTTTTTAGGGAGAGATGAGAATCAAAACCACAAACATCTTGAAAAAGGTCAATTCCCAGCCTTCCGCGTTCTAGCTGCCTACTTGAGCAGTTCCACACATTGTGCTGTATGCTGAGTTAGAATGAGATGCTGGCATACTGGGCTGTACCACTTTTGACTGCAGCATAACCTAGGTGTATCATATTTCTGAATGTTTCTTTATACAGGGTGAGGCAGCATAACTTCCTTTTTTAAAATGCGCGCCATTCAGTCGGTTGAAGACGTAGCAGAGCACTAGTGGTCTCGTTCGAGAGGCGGGAGTATGAAGTTTTGTCCTGACACAGTTCAGTCGCCATCATGCGTTGGAACAGTGAGGAGCGTGCTTTTGCCGTTGAGGCCTACTTTTCGAGTGGATGTTCTGTGATCGCAACCCAGCGCACCTTTCGTATTCGCTTTAATTTAACCCCATTGGCCCCTGTCCTGGACCAGAAATCAATTGTGACATGGGTCACTACATTCAGACAAACTGCAAGTGCGACAAGACGAAGAACTGGAGTCCCTCGGCCCATTAGATCACCTGAGAACATTGAGGCAGTGAGAGCTCCAATGTTACCATCACCACAGCGTTCTGCGCGCAAACATGCGTCTGCCCTTGGACTTTCCGATCGTTCTGTGAGGAGAATTCTTCATGATGATCTTCATTTCCATCCTTACAAGATGGCGATTGTGCAAGAACTTTCTGAGCGTGACTTCAATTCTCGGAGGAACATGTGTGAGGTTCTTCTCGAAGTCGTTCCTGAGGACACTATTGTTTTTTTTAGTGATGAAGCCCATTTTCATTTGTGTGGATCCGTCAACAAACAAAACACGCGCTACTGGGTTGACAACAATCCTCGAGAATTGCATCGAAGGCCTTTGCATTTGCCTAAAATCACAGTGTGGTGTGCAATTTCCTCAGCTGGAATTATTGGTCCCTGGTTCTTTGAGGAAAATGAAGTCGTAGTGACAGTGAATTCGGACCAGTATGTAAATATGTTACAGGAAAAAAATTTCCCACGACTAGATGGGTTGGACTTAGGGGACATTTGGTTCCAACAAGACAATGCAACTGCACATACTTCAAGAGCATCGATGGCTGTTTTGTGGGAACACTTCCCAGAGCGCCTCATCTCAATTAGGGGGGATTTGGAGTGGCCGGCCCGTTCTTCAGATTTGGCCCCTTGTGATTATTTTCTATGGGGTTTTTTGAAATCCCGTGTTTATGTGAACTGTCCAAGGACCCTACAAGATTTGAAGACCAACGTCCAGGAAGAAATTGCCAACATAATGCCTGCTATGCTGGAAAGAGTCATGACAAACGCCAGAAATCGGTTTACTCAGTGTATGGAGAATGGGGGATGTCACCTACCCAATTTGATCTTCAAAACTACGTAAAACCAAACTTTAGGTATGCGCCTACATTATATTAAAAAATTCTGATTCATACAATGGTTTTATTAAGTTTTGAAAAAAGGAAGTTATGCTGCTGCACAATGTATAAGCAAAAGAAAAAATATATATCCATGCTCTGTCAGCTTTGTAACTCAGCTGTGGCATCTCCTCCAAATCTAAAAGAGACACCACAGTGTGTGAACTCATGTGTTATGGTCTTGAATTGGACAATCTCCATCTGCTCCCTCGATTTACATCATGTGTTAAGTGACTCTCAGAATAGTTTTATGCATCTCTAAAAAAAATATATAACAGGGAGACATACTCCCAACGAGAGATGTGCAGAATTCCTGCTGTAAGCGATTTCTCAATTCTTGACCATTCCAGTTCACTCTTCAAGTGACCCTGAGAAGCAGAATTTAGATATGTTAATTTTAGGGACTTTTCCGGAATCCTCTAGGACTATGACATTGGAGATTCTAGATGGCCTGGACCACAAAATTAACTTTTTTCAGCTCTACTGCCAAGTAGAGTCCCAACCCTGTGCCAGCAGGACTGAAGACCAATAGGTCGCAGGTTCGAATCCGGGGAGAGGCGGATGAGCTCCCTCTATCAGCTCCAGCTTCCCATGCGGGGACATGAGAGAAGCCTCCCACAAGGATGATAAAAACATCAAATCATCCAGGCGTCCCCTGGGCAACGTCCTTGCAGACGGCCAATTCTCTCACAACAGGAGCGACTCCTGACACGACAAAAAAAAATATGTTGAAAAAGTAAAAACGGATGAAATAGTTAAGCACAATTTTTTTCCTTCTGAAAATGAAATTAAGGGACCAATAATGCAAGAAAGAAAAGGGAGCAGGGGGCAAAAAACGCAGGTAGAAAATGAAGACTGGGAGATTGGAGCAAGAAAACATGGGCAGGGGAGTAAGATACAATTTTTTGGTTTTTGAAACAACTTTGGAAAAGCAATGTAAACACAACTAAATAAAGCCAGAAGGAGGAGGGGAATGAGACCAACATGATGGAGGATGTTGAAGGAACACATTGACACAGCCTGCGCACTTGCACACAGTTGTGTAAACCAGAAAGTCACTAGTGCAGCAATATCTTCAAAAATTCCAGTTTATGCTGACGGGATTTTGTTTTGTTTTGTTTTTGTTTTTTGGCTGTATTGCAAGGGACTCAAAAGCCTATAATTTGGATTGGATAGTCTACAGACCTAGGGCATGGCTTCACAGCTAGTATAGCATGTGGAATGGTGTTTGGTGTATCCCAAACAGGCCCACATTAAATCCTCAGCTCTGACAGCAGTGACATCCCCTTGAGCTGTTAGTCTGACATGGATCTCACAGGTCTATGTGCAAAGGAGAGTAAGGAAGAGTTATATATTCTTACCTGAGCTCCCTAGATCAAGAGTAGCATGAAACTGTACTAAAACTGTACTTCAATTTTCCTGCTTCTTGGCAGGGGGTTGGACTGGATGGCCCATGAGATCTCTTCCAACTCGATGATTCTATGATTCTATGAAATGAAATGACCCTGAATAGGACTCTTTCATTTCTGCGATGGTTTCTTTTGCCCCCCCCCCCCCAGTGTCTTCAAACCTTCTTTCATTATGGATGGAATAAGGATGTAGAAACCTATGGAAAAGCAAACCAATTAGGCAATCTGAATTATTCCGCAGAGCAAGTATTCATATGATGCAGAGGGTTGGAAGAGGTGTTTCTTACCAAATCTAAAAGAATTTTAAGCTTTGACAAGACATGGCCCAGTCTTGCAATCCTGTTGCATGAATACTTGGAACTAAATCCTGTGCAGTTCAGTGGGACATTTTCCCAGTTGATGGTCTATGAATTACACTTAGTTTTGCACATTTCAATACGCAGTAGTCTGTTAAATAAATAGTTATTTACAGCAACTCCTTGCTTTGAATCTAATTGATATTTTAATAAAAAATCAAGTCATTTTCTATTTATCAAATATTTTCCACAAATACCTTGTGAGAAGGTATAATTTAGAATTTTCCACCTTTGTTGAAAAGATGTTATTCAGATGCTAGCAACAATATCGATATTACATAATTTTTAAAATGCATTACATTTAAATACTGGCATTGTCAATTTGTCATCTATCCTCTACAGCAGGGGTCCTCAAACTAAGGCCCGAGGGCCGGATACGGCCCTCCAAGGTCATTTACCCGGCCCTCGCTCAGGGTCAACCTAAGTCTGAAATGACTTGAAAGCACACAACAACAACAACAATCCTATCTCATCAGCCAAAAGCAGGCCCACACTTCCCACTGAAATACTAATACGTTTATATTTGTTTAAATTGTTCTTCATTTTAATTATTGTATTTTTAATATATCTTTATTAAGTTTTCCACAACATAAATTTAAAATCAATAAGAAGAGAAAAAAAAGTGCAGTAAAAAAATATACGAAAAAAAGAGAAAGAGGGAAAAAAAGATGAGATCTTTTCATGACTTCCCGAGTAACTTCTATGAGGTGTCATCCTTTTCCCTCTTCCTTAGACTTCTCTCTATTTCTTCTTAGGCCATTTTTTCTCTCTCTCATTCATTTGAGGTTAATTCCTATTATTTAAGTTAGTATCTTATATTTCTTATTTTTTAATTTTTTAATTATTGTATTTTAAGTGTTTTTTGCACTACAAATAAGATATGTGCAGTGTGCATAGGAATTCATTCATGTTTCTTTCAAATTCTAATCCGGCCCTCCAACACTTTGAAGGACTGTGACCTGGCCCTCTGTTTAAAAAGTTTGAGGACCCCTGACCTAGAGTGATGTTCTCCCAGGCAAAGTAGCAGTATTTTTAATTACAATTTTTCCATTTTTGCAGCAGTCTGGCAGCCCCAATTTCAATAAATGTGTATATCCAAGCAAGCAACAAAAATATCCCAGGTGAAAGTATAATATCACAGAGCTTGGAAAATATTTGGGTGGTACAACTCCTAGAATCTGCCAGCTAAAAGATTTTGCCAGCCAAAGCAATGTTGGGGATTCTGGGAATTGTTGCCCAAATAAATAACATTTCCAAGTTCCAAGTGCCCTTAAACAAAGATGTATGACAACTAGGCATTCTGGACCTAGTTGTCATACATCTAAAGTTGGCACTATCAAGCAGTAACGGATAAATTAAACCATCAAGGAAGCTTATTGTGAACCCACAGCAACTAGGGCTTGAAAACTGCTAACTAGAAAAGTTAGCAGTCACCTAACATCAAAGTATATTTATCATAATGCCCCCTGAAGTACCATCAGAGGTGTGCAAAAATTGTAGTGATGGGGCTTGCTGGTGATGCTTACCAGGTAGATTTTCTTTGTCGAAGGCTTTCATGGCCTGAATCACTGGGTTGTTGTAGGTTTTTTCGGGCTGTATGGCCATGGTCTAG